TATCTCACAATGAATGCATAAGCTGCCGCTTGTCATGTCCCACCTACGAGAATGGGAGAGTGACTAAGGTCTGCAAATCCCCTCGGTGTGGATTAAAGTGAGATAACGTTCAGGGTCCAAACACGAACATCAACTTTAATGGAACAAACACTCTGTGTATTAATATGTCACATAAACTAAGCGGCTTTATGAGAAGTTGAGGTAGGCCTTGCGTTACTTAGCAGCATCAAGGGCAGAGAAAGAGAGGGAAGGAAAGAAAGAGAGAGCTAGAGAGAGAGAGAGAGCTAGAGAGATCACTAATCCTGGATCCATCATTGGACCTGCCAATGGGGAGTGTCAGTGTAAAGAGTGCCCCACAAGGTTCGTATGTGCTCCTATTTATTGGCCCCAGTCCAAAGTTTCTAGAATCTTCTCTCACCCTGGTTCCAGGAGTGGTTGCGTTATCAGTCAGTCAAGGGGAGTGACACTGGGCCCCTCCCCGTGGCTGGCTTCTGGAGCTTTCTCTCAGGGCATTGTCTGTGCTCACAGCACAGTCCCTTGGGCCTCATCCCTTACACCACCCCATGGCTCAAACACTCCAAGGTCCTCTTCAACAGTGGTGATCTGAACATATCGTAGAGAGGGGGAGAGGGAAGAAAATAAGCGGTGAATCAGGCACCTCATTACAGTAAAGCCGATAGCTAGACCAATTAATATTAATGAAAGTATTACTAAAGCTTCCACTATCCAATTCCACCATCCCACAAGTCCAACTTTTTTGAGCAAAGTTGAGACCCATGAGGCGGGGTTCCAATCCATCTTCCATTAATTTGGTAACATCGATCGGAATAAGTCTCCCATCTTGGCTGTAATTTCTCGCATCTTTTGATGTACTTCCTCGATCGTGGTCGTGGCGTTGTGTATGGTGATGCAGCATTCTCCAGCCATATAGTTTAACACTCCACACACACCTTGTTCTTTGACTAGTAACGTGTCCAGGGCTAGGCGGTTCTGCAAGGCCATCTTCAACACCTGTTGAACCTGTAAATTTAGTTCTCCAAAAGCGTGTGCGGTCCAATTACTCAAAACATGTACCTGCCAGGTCAAATTTTACAATACAAACTGGTGTCTTTGTTGAAGCACACCTGGGGCAAGATAGGCTTCAAATGCAAGGGCCACTTTCATTCCCCAGATATAATAATTGGGCGCTTGGACCCCTCTTATCCATTTGGGTGCAGTCTGAGGTGTTTGAGTATCCCGTCTCTTTCGGTTATACCCAGGGTTAATAAAGTCAAATGTTTTGGAGCGGCACATTGATGGAATTCCAATGGCACAACGAAGACCCACCATTTCGTGCACATGCAGGTGTGAGTACATCTTCCCATCTGAACATGCCCAGAAGGTACCCTGGGGGGCTGGATATTTAGCAGTGGAGCATGTTGATGGGTCATAGGATTCAATTAGTTTGGTTTCCCCTTCCCACGCAAGATTCCACTTTGTTTCATGGGTAAGCGTAACTCCACGTTTTAACGCGGTTTCTCAATTGATAATGTTTCCATAATACATGGGATCTCCAGGTTTAAACCCTGGTACCAGAAAACACCAACAAGTACACATATCCTGAATAAAGGTTCATAATTCTGGGATATACCATGTTTCTATTGGGTCCCACGATAATGATTCACAACTAACCGTTTATGAGCAATTCATTAGGCGAGTATTTTCATGGGGTAGGGGGTTTATTTTCCACATATATTATCTGGACTGGATAAGAAATATTTAAGGGACCAAGCACATTCGTAACAAGAATGATCATGGTGAACGTAGTCACCCCATTTGTTAAGAATTTGAATACACCAACCCGGGGAGAACAGGATGTTACATTTGTGACGTAGGGGTTCACCCTGAGGGGGAGGGTCCCAGCACCGTACCAGATTACAGGGGATCTCCACCTCCCGGGGACACCACATCCAATTCAGTACAACATTGCAAGGGAACTTCACTTCCTGGGGACATAAAGTCCAATTCTTTCAGGCTGCGAGGGCAGTGCTTGTAGTTCCCTTACAGAGTTGTTGCTTCCGACAGGTAGCATTCCACATGTCTTTCCAGGTCGTGTTGACCAGAAATAGATAGGCCACTGGAGAGGGTGTGTACCAAGTTGTCCCACTATATTCTTGAAATGGGGATGAGTCAGCTCCCCACAAACATTTTCCTTTCCCATGTATATTTCAAGTGCACTTTTGGTTTAACACTTCTAGTTTTGAGTTTAGAATTTGTGAGAGGTTTAGCCAAATAATGGTGGATTTAAAGCCCACTGATGTGGATGTGGGGAGTTCCACACAAAGACCTTGGTCTGTTCGATTCCAGATTCGAGTAAAACCAGTAATCAGCTCCCATGCCAAGTTAGGTTTGTTATTCAAATTCCCAGTTGACTGAGACAAGATTATACATCCACAAAGTAAGAATATAAACTTCTCCCACACCATCTTACTCTAGTAAAGAAAAAAAACAGGCTTAATAAGATCAGACAATGCAAAGAATGACCCACTCAACAACTGAAAACAAGTCCCACGGTGGGCTTCTGGCAACCTGTAAATTATATCCATAAAGACAAACAATGATTAATAGGGTGGGACAATCCATCGGGCATGGATTCAGTGATCCTTCCCCTGTGCGTCAGTGGCCACCCAAGTATAGAGACTGAGGGCCTTCTTAAGGTTAAAGGTATTGCTCCCACCATCGGTAGGTCCACCAGAATGGGTTGTCCCGGATAATGGAGTGGGTTCACAGGGTCCTTAGCCTCCCTTTTTCTGGGGAGTATGGATGGAGGCTTGGGACAGAATACGGTAAGTCATGGGCACCCAGTGGCTATTAACTTTATATACCGCATCTGACATTCGCTGTGCCCACCCAGGTTCATGAGGTTTCAGAGCCTGCTTCAAGAGTCCGTTGGTGTGTTCGACAATGCCGTTTGCCTGCGGGTAGTATGGGGTGTGGCAGATCCACTGGATCCCTTCGCCTCGTGCCCACTCTTGAACCACCCCAGCAGTAAAGTGGCTTCCATTATCCGATTGGATTGATTGGGGTTTGGGTAAGTAACTGAACCATAACTTTAAACTTTTTACAGTATTATCTCCCGTCGCTCATTGTACTGTTTCTGCTTGGGTTAACCCTGACACCACTTCAACTCCTACTGGTACATATTGTTTCCCTTCAGAGATCTGAAATGGACCAACGTAGTCCACCTGCCAAGTGTCCCACAACCCTTTATTATCTCTTATGTGCAGAGGCTGGTCTTTAAGAGGGTTGTACTCATAGAATAATAGAATCATAGAATCATAGAATCATTGAGGTTGGAAAAGACCTCTAAGATCATCGAGTCCAACCGTCGACCCAACA